TAGCCGCATGCCACAGTGGCCTGTTGTGGCACATCTTGTGTTCCACAACATTGGCTCTGCAGTGGCGGGTGTCATGTATGACACGACCGCGGTGTGTATTCCTACTTCGGAAGAATATTGCGAAGTAAACAATGTGCCTCATTTGTTACCGACAGCAAATAATAACATAGGTAAAAGTGTTCTTTGATAAAGCGAGATGTAATGTATTTTTATTGAAATAAATTTTATGCTGCGTACTTTAGCTATAAAAGATGATTTAATATAATTTGTTAAGACAATTATGTAAAGGTTTAGTGAATTTGGAGTGAGGAGAGGGGGGGGTCATCGTTATAGCTATCACGTCCTCGACTGAGGGGAGTTGTGCATACAAAGTTGTATCGAAGGGTAAAGTGAATGCCTTGCTTGGGACCGCGTCGTCGGTCGCAGCGATTTAACTAATTGAAAATGAAACAAAATTTATTACTATACACATTAGTTCTAATGCGAAAGATTGCTGTAGACTTTATTTTTTAAATATGGTTTAAATAAAGTTTGTATAAAATGAACGCGTGGTTTCATTATCATTATTACACCACCCTTCCCTTGTCAGCTGTCGTGAGGGGTGGCACCCGCCCTCCGCGCACTGCGCCGGCAGTCGGCAGTCGGCAGTCAGTCGCAGTCGCGCGGAGGACACGCGGAGTGACGCCTCACTTAGACACTTTTATCACGTACATTGTGATTGTTTATTTGTTGTGAATATGATTCGCAATTAACGATTTTGAAAACAAAAACGCAGTAAGTGAATACGAGACGGGGGTAGGTGTGCGCGCTGCGGGCAGGCGGCGGGTAGCGGCGGCTGTGTATCGACCGCGCGCGCTGCAGGGAGCAGCGACGTAGCGCAGTTGAGTGCAAGTGGTGCACTGCGTACTATATTGTTGGGTACTGCAGTTTTCTGTGGCTTATCCTGATATTTATAAACGAGTACGGAAGAATAATATATTGTCTGGTGTCATCTTTGAATCGGGTATAAAGCATGGTACATATACAATTTAGTTGAAATATAAATTGGTGGAGAGGGTGAAGCTGCAAAACGTGAACCTCGATCTATAATTAAATTTTGTAATCAATTTAATTCGCGTCGAATGGAATCTGAAACTGATTCTTGAATTCGAAATAATAACAGTGGCGTAGAGTTGCTATGTAGGTACTGTGACGTCATCTGAACAATTACTTTGTATCGTGAGTTGGTGCGAGTGACGCGAGATGGCGCTACAGATGGGTAAGCATATGCACATTTTTTTCTATCCAAACATGTAAAAATCAATGTTTGTCCTTGGATAAATTATTATCATATCGAGTACTGTAACATAAACATGAAATTAGATATCGAGAAGCCTCGTTTGAGATGTAGTTATTTGCTTATGATTATAATCCGAAATGATGGGAATAATGGCAGCAAGAGCACGACGTTATCCTCGTTATTTTTATTCGGAAGTGTCCGTGGATATTTAATGTGAACGCGATGAGGCAATTAAATTATGATGTCGGAAACGAACGGAACTCTGACGATGAAAGGATCCGTAAATGAGAGGCCGCCGGCGCCTTTGTGTTTCCGATCTCGTTAATCTGTAATCTGTAAATCAATACTGTTTTGAAACTGTCGTTTTTAAACTTTTTAGTTTTTACATGTAATTAAATTGGAGTGTCTGTTTGCAATATCAAAAGAAAATTACCAGATTTCGGCAAGATGGTGTATTTGTGTTTTATCTTTTTTTATCTTAATTTTGCACGGACGAAGTCGTGGGCAACAGCTAGTATGTAAATAAGACACAGATAAAATAATAATAGTGTAGAATAAGATAAAAATACATATAAATGGTGCATCATATCAGTCTAATACATATCTGAAAGCCGTATCCTGTCGTCGAGTCTAAAATCAGCGAATATGAGTTCACAATTAAATAAGAAAACCGAAATACTCGCACATGTTGACATACAACAAGCCTTATTCCTTAACTTGTCAAATGTAGTAGTTACGTCACATGAGGCGGCAGACTGGGCTCGTGGGCGGGACGGGGTCTGCGGCGGGCGGAGAGGACCCGGCGCAATCTGCTTATACTTTTTTTATTAGCCGATGAAAACAATCTATTTTTCCTTTTAGAACAGAGCTGGAAAGGAAAGAGCATTAGATACGGGCAGCCAGCATCACACTCCTCAGACTCAACTCAGACCCCGTCTCCTGCGGGGTCTTAGCATTCTCCGCCGCCCTTTGCCGCGGCATGTGACTACAAAAATCTTTACGCTGCTATTCACGGCACTATAGTCTTTTATCAACACTATCGCGTGGCATTCCACTACCAGAACATTCGTTCAAAATACATTTGTTATCTCAGTTTTTTCTGAGAATATGATGGGGAGTTAACATAATTTATTTTTTTTATTTTATGTTTGCATCGGCAGTGGAAGCCCACCGTTGAGACTGATAAGTGAAGTGGAGCTGTGCTTTGTGATTGTGTCAGTCGTTCGCGAATCGCTTGCCGAAACTGTCGCGCGCCGCACTGCATACGTTTCTGCAAATTGTAAAAGTTCATTGACAAACAACAAACAGATTCAAATTGCCGAGTGTTGCGCCGACGAATATTAAATTAATAATCCTGCACCAATTGTGATACTTCCCGCTGGAGGCTCCGACAGGTTAGATACCGTTATCAAGTTTACACTTTTATGGTATGTGTGGTGCGTGTAGAAAATCCTACCGAATCTGAATTTTAGAGAATTGTGATAACGATGTCACCGTCACCTGCTGCCGCCTTATACTAGGTGCAGTGAGCTTGTGGTCGTACATTAGAGCGGCTGTGTCGGCAGCGGGGCGGTCTCAGGAGTCTGCTGGGGAACTGCGACCAGGCTAAAACATTCGTTCACAAGATGCAGAACGTAACTAGGATCACTTCTCCTGTTAGCTCCGTTGCGACCGTGGTGTGTAGTGTGAATGCAAATGCAAGAGCTTTCTCCGACCAAGAGCCCGTCATTCAGGGGTTTAGCGCTTGACACTTGTAATCTGCAGTTCCTGCTTCTATCCCCGCCATGTACGATATTTCGATTTTAAAATTAATCCAACGTTCATACGAAGAAAATCATAGATGTTTGTAAAGTCTGTCAACTGGCGCGATTGACTGAGCCCTCGCCATCTCTACATTCGTTTAGGACTCAGTTGTCCTCGGTGGTGTCGTATGTGAACTGACGACAACTTGGTTATAATGAAGTGCCAGCAGCAGGAGAGTCGCCCACACTCCGCGCCCTGCTGATTACTTAGCAAACTTATAAAACATAATAAATCTATTTCCATATGAGTAAGTTCGCGTAGGATATCGCAAGCTGTTGCGTAACATAATGTACACCTTGAAACTTGAAATTCTCTTTTGCATATATTTAGTTTGTTTTGTTCGTTATGGAGTGTAAATTGTATAAATAAATAAAAATCTTCGAAGTCGTTCTAACGTTAGTATTTTTTAGCGCCAAAAATATTCGTTTTTACAAATCTTCTCAGAAATAAAAAGTAAACTATAAACCACACACAGATGCAAATATCTTAACTGCTTATGTGTTGCTTTTTTGTTGCCTCGATATAAAAAGGAAAGTGAGCGGCGTCATTGCGACGTCGCATCGAGTGGCGTCGACTGCGGCCGGTTCTTGTTGGGTAAAGTTATGCTGTGAGCCAGCGGCCGACGCGTGGGTGGCGCTGGACAGCTTGCTAGCCACCTCACCCGCCGTACCACGCCATACCACGCTCTGGTCGTTCCCATGTCAATAAAACACATATGTGTGGTGGAATTATACCTCAGTACCATAGCGCGCCGAACTCACCACGATGATAAGATTGATCGAATGTGGACAACAGTTAACAGCTGTTGAGTTTCTAATAAAAAGTTAACGTGTAACATAAATAGCTATCTAATGTTAGTGTGTCGCGTGTGACGTCACATGCGATAAGGCAGTGGTGGTGCGGTCTGGCGCGGTCCTGGCGCGGCGGCTGCCTCCCAGGTCAAGGTCACACTATCTAAAGCAAAGCGCCTCCTTGCGACAAAGATACACTATGCCTCTGATGGCGCCAGGACGTATGTTAGTATTTGCATATTGGTGTAGATGGCGCTCTCACGAAACACACAAGAGTTTGTATGAAGATTTGTTTAAAACAACACAGTTTATATCATCGAGTCAGTTATAATCGATGTTAACTACCTTAGTATGATGTATTATATTCATTGCACATAGTATTCAGCACATACTATACTTGTATAAATATAAGCACTATAACATCTCTTATTATAGCTGGCTTTATTTTTTATTATAGGTTTTATTTCGGACTCAGAAATAAAAAATATGACAAAAATTGTCAGTGTCATTTATATGCTAAATTGTGACCCAACTAGACAGTTAGACAAGTTAAGTAGAGAATGTAATATTAACTTTAAGCTATATATGTATTAATGTATAAACTGCTGCACAGGTCAAATATTGTTGAGATTGTCTAATAATATTCTTCTGAAATATTGTTTTTTTTTTACACCAGATAGAAGTGAAGATGTGGGCAGGTGTACGAAGGACAAGAGAATATAAATTTATCGTGGTAATCACAAACAGTAATCAATAATGATAGTGACATTTGAGGCGATAACCGTCCGGCGGCCGCGACGCGACGACACGCGGCGCTGCACTCCTTGCGGACTGTACTTTGTACAGACTTTTATATATTTTCTCGTTACAATACCCACTTATGGTAGGTGGTCGCAGTACTGTCAAATTCCCGTCTACATCTCTGTCCAATGTAATAGCCAACAATAATACACGCTAAAATAGTTAAAATTAGTGTAATAACAATGTAATTGTTTGTAGATCGAGGAGGTTATGCAGCAGAAGGCGCCGAGAGTGCCTGCTGATATCAACATACAGTAAGTTGTGTTGATTTTTCTAAACTTGTGAATATATAGATTTTAAGCATGATATATTTTTATAATTAAAGTAATAGACGACATTTTTTTTGTATAATTTTAAAATTAATGTAATGGTTAATCATAATTTTTAAAAATTTTAACAAGTGATATAATTTCAAACGCGTGTGCGAAGGGGATATAGCTCAGTGGTAGAGCATTCGACTGCAGATCGAGAGGTCCCCGGTTCAAACCCGGGTGTCCCCTGACAATTTTTTTGTTTTCTCTCTAGACAACCTCGCAGCGAGTCAAATCGAGCTACCAATTCTAGCCTCCAAGGAGTGCGCAGGCGGCTATCGGCCAACTTTTTTAAGGCGACTTTTAGTTCGCGCAGCAAGGCGGTCACCGCCCTCCGCGCCCCCTGCGCCTCCCGTTCCGTCGAGGACACCACTAAAATAGGCAACGCGGAGGCAAAGCCTGTCACTAGAAACAGACCTAGATCAGGTTGGAACTTTTTAATTTTAAATATTCATAACTA